AGTTTCTTGCTCGTTCTTCTCATGGAGGTCAGCGTAGTGAACGAGCAGTAGCTTAAATGTGACGTTTTCAAGTGTAAATTTATTTTACCTATGGAATAAATAATCTTTGACTTTGACTGCAACTGTTATGTACAGGCGTGTAGCCATCAGAATCATAAAAACATTTGGAGTTACTTACGTTTTGCCACCAATTTAGAGTAATATTTAGGTACAAGTAAAGTTGAAAGGACTTACCTATCTGCCCAAATCCAGCGTAAACTAAAATAATCTATGACGGTTATTACGCTAAATAATATACGAGACTATTAATCTTAACCGAATAAGTGGCTGGCAATATTTTACCGCGCATTGTATTGTTGAACTACGACTTCCGGTCGTAATAGTGATGTGCCGCTTTGTACAAATTCTCGCATGAATAATTTGACTTGATTAATGAGAATCTTGTATTCTTACAAGTCATATAATTTATAATTGTGCTGTAATTAGAATAGTATTCGCTGTAATTTAGGTAGGAGTATTAAGCGTGTTTCCGCAATGTAGGAGTCGGATAGAACTTTCTTAAGCTGTCTATAGTTGTATGTAAAAGCAGACTTTTTCTGGTACTTACGGAGTTTGTGTGTGTGATAATGAATATAGTGAATGATAGTGAAAATGAATAACAAGTGATATAAACAACATAAAACAATAAAGCATTCCCAAAATTTGTCACAAATAAAGCGCCAAAAACAAGTGCATTTAAATATAGAACTTATAATAAAAAACTACTTTTGTAAAAAATTGTAAAAATTTTGTTTTAATTTTGCTAAAAATACACAAAAAAATATGTGTCTGTTTGCGTGTATTATGTTATGTCCTAGTTCACAATCAGTACTTCTTTATCATCAACCTATCGTACGTCCTAATGTTGATTATAGGTCTCGAATAAGCAGAGTTAACTTTACACATTTTCAATACGCATTTTTCATGCCGTTTCCCTTCATCGTTAGCGAAAATCATTGCTATTAAACATTTATAAATAAACCTAACTTAGAAATTATAGTCGTATGTACATGTCGCCATAGTGACTCGGTTCGTCGAGAAGCAACCGTTGTCGCACTTGGCTGCCGGTTTCAAAATTAGGTGACAGCTAATTATACGAAGTTTTTTTTGCAAAAATTTTGAATAAATTGTGAAAAAAGGCGGCAGGGCTGGTTCGAATACAGTTCAGATCGAAGGATTTTTCTTTGTGTATATGGGAAATTGTTCAAATGCAAAATTATTCGCACGCTAAAGTGAAGAACTGTAAAAAAAGGAAAATAAGAAAAAAATATTCTGCGTAGGGAATCAACTTATAAGTTATTCGAGTGACCCCATCACTAGCTCATGAATCTAGTGCAGTTCTGTCGTGTTATGGTTACATTATCTGCTACCCAGATGAGATATTGCCGGGTTATCATTTACACAGGATTTTATTGTGGGAAAATGTTCTCTCCATGCACTGGAATGCAACATATTGCATTGCTCAAATGTTTTAAATTGAAAATAAAACAAAAATTTTCTTTTTACTGTAAAAGCTCACAAATTGCCTGATCCCTAGATAGAGTATCCCTGTATAATGTGTACCAGAGAGTAATGATTTTTATTAAAGTAAAATAATAATATAGAGATTCTTTTTTTGGAATGGCAATAGTAAGATTATAGGATTTGGACGACAAAAAAGCGGGAAGCGGCCATTTCTTTTTAAAAGGTTAGGAGCTTAGAATGTGCTATGGTTTTCAACCGCACATCGTACTACTAAACCGTGGATATAGAAAATAAAAGAACCACTGGTAATTCAATGGGTATTATTATGATACCAACCATATTGTCAAAGTGTAGTGTCAAAATAGTTTTTTTTTTATTACACTTTACAGTTGTTGTTCCGATCCCAAAGTAAGTAATAACGGCGGTACCACAAACACCCACACCAGAGACAATATAGAAAAATTTCTACATTGACCCGGCCGGGGATCGAACCCGGGACCTCAGACATGTCGACACCATGAAAACCGGTGTGCAAGCCACTAGACTACGGAGGTAGTTCCTCGTAGTGATGTATCCATGAATAAAACAAATAATAGAAATTAATAATCTTAATAAAACAAAATACTATATTTTTTAACATTATAATGAACATAAATATTATTATGCGTTTACTTAAAAATAATATTGTGTTTTATAAATAGGAAATGGAACTATTTTTTCAGATCTAAATAGCGTATATTTATTTTTTCAAACAATCCAAGGTTTCGGGCCATTTACAGGTTTACTAATGAAGCCTGAACCATTTGGTTTTTTGGAGAAAACAAATATCCTATGCATAACAATCGCGAAAACCTAAGAAATCGACTTCGTCTTCTAAGTTCCCAAATGAATTAATAAGGCACTGTACTTAGCTTTTTTAATAATATTCTTTTTCATCTAATGTACAGTTTCACTAAAGATACTTTCATTTCAAAAGCAATGAACTATGGACGTCTGTGGAGAAACGCCTGCTAAATTTTTAATAGCAATTTGTCATTGACAACTTTCGCAATATCACAGACTCTTTGTCACAGGCTCTCTTTCACTAATAGTAGTTGCATATAATAATAAAGAACGAAAATTTTCCTCCCTTCTTTTGTTTAGCCTATACTTTATTGTTTGAGGTTGGGCTTTGAAGGCCCAAGAGGAGTTCTATCACCACCTAGTGTAATCTACTGTTTCATCCATTCAACAAGTGATAAACATAAATGTGAGAGTATTAAAACAACTGTAGATAAACAATACAATTTATCGAAGGCGTAAGGAACAAAATAAATCAATACAATTGCGCGTAGGTGGCCGGCGCAGGCGCAACCTGCAATTACCAATTAACTTCGCATTCGCAATTCAAAATTCAAATTCATTCGGACACGGCCCATGTCGTACGGGTTACATGTCTAAAAAGGTAATGTGAAATCGATGTGGAGTAAATCAATTACCGTTAAGGTATAACAAAATTTCATTTTAGGGTCTGAACTAATTTGTTCGTAAACGAAGTTTGAAATATTAGTTTCTAAAAAAAATTATATTACGTTGCGTGAAAATATTCAGAAGATCCGAAAACTGTTAGGCTGACTATATGGACAGCACGTCTGCAATAAATGCGTGCATTGCATAGTGATCTACTGCCTGCAGTCGACATTTCAATTACGTGCAATAGAGGGTTCAACTGCAAGCAAGCGGCTGCAGTCGACATGAACGATAATTCCAGTATCAAAAGTAGCACTTGACATTCTTAAGAGGGAGCAGAGAAAAAAATTCCTAATCTTCGATTTGATTTTAGAGGGATATATCCACTTTAAAGTTAAAAATAAAATATTGTATGAGTAATTACACGATATATTCAAGTACAGACACTAATCAGAAACATAAAACAATAAAGTTTCCTCGATAGATAAAAATCACGAAATGACCTCTAATTTTCACATTTTTTCGATTTATCCTCGAAATGCTACAGGTTATTAGGACAAAAATTAGATAATTAATTATATTTATGCATGATTGACAACTGTCACTACGGATTTTTTTTGAATCCCTTTAGTTTTAGAGTTATTCCGCTAAAACGAATTTGGTACTTTTAACGCGCAAAATTCAACATCTCCTGTCGCATATCACGCGAACTTCAGGCATTATATTCGTTTCACAAATTTGGGCGGAGCCAACGTCAAATCTTTTTTGGCATGTTCCCTCTTAATAAGATACCTATATGGTTTTTTTGTCTGAAACGACTTACTTACCTACTCTTTAATATTTTTTTAATCATTTATTTCTTTTATATTCACAACAAATTCTATCCGATAAATAGTAAGACATTGAAACCCTTGAGGGGTTTATAATGTATTACGTCTGACAAGTGAAAATTAAGACAGTCTTCATAAAGTACAACTTAAGTCCAGAGAGAAGTCCTAGGTAAATTACACATTTTTTATTATTTGACAAATTTTGGTGGCCCGTTGGTTTATAGTACTATGCGTCGAACAGGCGGGAGTTGCCCTGTTTCGTCTTATACTGTAGCGGAGGCGTGCTTGAAATCAACGTCGGCTGCATGCAGTTGTAGATATCGATTATGCACGTGATGTCCGTCTAATAACAGCCTTAATACAGAGGGGCTCGAATTTAGTAGAGGCGAAACTACAGAACCTTGAACATCGTCATAAATTTATCGGTATTCTACAGGATATATAACGGAGGGTGTGCGATGAAATTGCATGATTTAATTCCGCCCTCCCCTTTCCATCACCGGTGGCTCTAGACGTAGGCGGGCGTTCCACCCCATGTTGTGGATATTCCAAGGATTTTAGTATCAGTAGAGCCTTACATATTTCTTTTGCCTTACATATTTTTGCCGCCAAGCAGTATAATGTGAACATCACTGCGTTCCGGTTTTGAAGAGTGCTGGTGAAATTAAGGGCACATGGGACTTGTCAACGTATGATGGGCGCAGCGGCAGTGCCTCTCAGATCTTTGTCATTTAAAGCTCTGAGTGGCACTGCAACTGTTATAGATAGGCGTGCCGCTTACCACCAGGCGCACAAATTGTTCGTCATTTGGTCTTATGATAAAAAGAAGCGTTACGCTTCCACATTTATATGGCGCGCGGCTAGGGAGTGGAATTCTCTGCCTGCGGACGTGCCCCGAACGCTATAACTTAGACCTTTACAAGGCAAAAGTGAATAGACATTATTTAGGTGTGCTAGATCGTCGGCCTCATCATCACTTTCTGTCAGACGAGATGGAGGACAGATGTGCACTTATTTTTGTTTAAAAAAATATCGTACTAGTTACAACTTATTTGCCTAATTAATACACATGACAGTGCAAAATAACCTAGTTAAATTACATAACTTTTCTTGTAAATACTCTCATAGCAAAGTAATTAATTGCTAGTTGCACTGTGAAAATATATAACCACAAAACATTCTAAGTAAATCATTTATTAAAGTTTTGAAGTAAAATCTCCAAATTTACTTTCACATTGAATAATCAAGTTTCTACCTTATTCATGATCAAACGATTCTGTTTTCTAACATCACAAAACAGACGACAAATTATCTTATGCTTTTTATAACAGCAAATTAAAACATCGTTATTTTTCAATAATAAAATTACGATCACATTATATTGTGCAGCTCCATTATTTCCCAGTCTTTAAAACTTAAAACTTTCTATTTCAATAATCTATTTCGGTAAATAATATTAAATACATTAATATTAATAACTGGGCCCGGAGAAATATTTGTATGGCATACATTTATTTTTCTCGTGAGTTTGGGTGTTATTGTGGTTGTCTATGTATACGTGTCCTTAGCACCCGCGATACATGGTTTCCCTAGTGCGGGGTTAAGAATATTTGCGTTATCTAAATATGGAAGTAAATTAAATTATCTATATACTTCCATTTATTAACATGAACTTCGACATAGTCGTATTAATCTAATTAGTTATGCCTCTTTCGTACATAGGTGTCTTCCATTTTGTACTCTATCTATATCCCAGATAAGGTTTAATACACTTGTATTATTACTATGGCTTTGATGGAGATTCTTGAGGTTCACCCTTATTTAATTGGAAAGACGCTTGGTCCCAGTGCAACTATCATGGCCCACAAAACACATGTACTGATGAGTGAGCTACCAACATTGTACATAATCTGAAACAAATACTACATATTTTTTAACAAAACCTATGTATCTGTGAACAAAAAAGTAACAATATTATTAAAATTCCATTCTCGGTTGAGAATAGGTTCACCAATTTATAAAGCAACATCTCTTATCACATCTGCGTAGCATGGCTACGCATCATAGTCGCGACAAGCGCTATAAAATTTAAATAAGCGCGAGCTATTGGCTATCTAAATTAGATCTGATTGAGACAGCCAATAGCGCGCGCTCATTCTAATTTTATCACGCGCTTCGCGACTATCATGCGTAGCCGTGTCACGGAGGTTCGTAGCTGTAAAGGTACCTGGTTGAGTGAAGAAAATATTTTCATAGATTTCTCATAGATAGCGCTACAGTTAAAAAGTCGTGAAAACCATAAACAAAGATCTGTAACAAACGCATAGAAAAATCCGCAAGGTCTGTTGACACAATCTTCTTAACACCTTATAATTTCTTTATTTCTACTCAAACTTATTCTCTGCATTTATCAAACGCTGCTAAATGTTCATCTTGACAGATGCGCGTAAATAGATACTTCAGGTGATGAAATAGTGGCAGCTTTGCATGGCACTGCAACTGTTATGGATAGGCATAATGGCTTACCACCAGGCGCACGTATTGTTTGTCTAATCACTCGTTAAAAACCATGACTAAGAACCATTTCGATGAAATTAGCCATCAAATTAAAAAAAAACCGTTTAAGGCAGTTTAAGAACTACGATGCCATATACAGACATGCTTATTTTTGAGTTTTCGAAGTTATGCTAATATGGTGAACCTTATAATTGTTAATACAAAGATCGAAAACAGAAAAAATCCTTCGGCTTTACAGGACTCTATCAGGCTCTCACAGGACACTTATTTTTGAGTTTCCGAAGATATGATAAAATGGTGAACTGAAAGTGAAATTAATACAAAGATCGAATAAAGAAAAATTTATTCGATCCTATAGGACTCGAACCTGCATCTGTGGCATGCCAGTGTGACCGCTCTACCAACAGAGCTACAGACCGAGTCAGCCGGTCTTACGAATTTCTCTACGTGTTTGTTACAGATTTTTGTATTGGGTTCAAACGATTTTTTTTTTGCAGTCAGTGCCACCTGTGAGAAACGAAATTTCAATTATGTATGGATAGTGTCAATTTTAAAATTAAAATTGTTCACATTTGTGCCTTTAGCAGATTTTAATGGTATTTTTATGGTAACCATAGTATTTCTGCAAATTAAGAAGCTACATGCTCAATGCCATAAAGTGGCAAAATTACAAAAGGTTAAAAGTTGCAACGTAAGTTGTAAAGTATTTCAGAAAGATACTCAAATTAAAGTATATGGTATAACATTAACCTTACCAGGTATTGAAGCGGCACTTTACCAATTGTTTTACTGAAATAAGCTGGAGTGTTCAAAAACGGAGCCATATATCCAAATGTGCAAGACAAACCAGCTGCCAGTGCCGACAAATGAGGATAATCTGTTTGCTACAATATAAAACATAATTTAAAAAACACAAGCGTTATTGTGGCGCCACTGTGACGCTACTACTGATGTCATACAAAAATTTAAAAGCTCAATTGCATTTAGAGATGTGGAAAAGCGTTACATTTCTATTACAGTTACAAAAAAAAAACAGTGACAAATCACCGTAATTTTCACTTCACGCCTGTCATTTACATCACGACGTACGGTTTTGGCAAGCGGCTACTTTCCAATAATCGTTACAAATAGAATAATTTAAGTTATTAGTTATTAGTCACTTTGAAGTAACATTTAATACGTTAATAAGACGAAAAGTTTATTATTTTGGATCAACTTTGTACAATTATCTTATTTACACTATTTTTTGTATTTTCAATATTTACACGGTATTTACACTCATTATTTCTTGGTTTTTAATTAGAATTTAAAAATAAATGCGAACTACAACGAATAACGCAGTCGCTAGTCTCTACAGAACGGAAATTTGTTTGTAAAATACGTTGTAAAATACCTTGACGAGTGACGGAGACAGTTAATGGAACGGAGGTACAACTTAAATGATTTTAGAACGAAGCTCAAAGGAGCTTCAATGATTCACAATGATCAGCCGTCATTTACCTTCGTAAATGACGGATGAATTTTGTGACGTGACGTACACGCCATGTTTTCAGTCACCATTACGCTAAAGCCGGGTGGGTACTCAATAGCGAACTGTAACGATAACATGCAGATACAGTAACGAGGTTCTAGTGTGTACGCTTGAAACAGTCTTCAATTAGACGGATCATTGCGAACCGTACGCGTACCGCTCGCGAACCACGTACACACTATGATTTTTGGTTACATAATATGCAACGGTTACAGTTACAGCTCGCTAGAGAGTACCCGGCTTAAGAACTCACGGGCCGATTTTCATCCTCGCCCATCGTGGTTGCGGGACCGTGGCTTCCGTAGAATTAACATATATACGTGGCGCGCACTATAAGTTTCCGGAACTGGCTACTTACATAAACAATATTTAAAAAGTAATTACAACATTTGAAAATGGATCTCTTTGGCTGTAGAATACAGTTGGTTTCGTCTGAATGTAACTTGCTTTTACATTGTGGACTTATTTTAGAAATTGGTTGTCTACATCACCATGGATTTAACTCGTGACAATAAGATAAAGATAATAACACATTTCAAGACACCTTTTACGCCCCTGGCGAGGACGGTTAATCGCGGTAGCCACAGGGTCCGCGGTGTACTAGTAGAACCGTCCGGGTTGCGGTCACCGTGTTTGGCGTTCGATGCGCCCGACGGTCTCTAGCGATCGTAAATAACCGCGCGACTGATCGCAATCATCTCCCGCCAAGTTTGCGAGATGTTCCGCAACCGCGGCGGCTACGTGACCGCACAAACCTGCGGTGTCGTGAGTATAAAAATTAAACGGAGTCCCGCAGTCGTGGCGGGCGCGGATGGAAACCGCTCCGTGAGCCTTAGAGGCCTTAGAGTGAATTAAAAATTACTGAAGTGCTACAGCTCTTCAAGCGTCTACTTTGGAAGCGCCCTATAAAAAACTTGTTACACTGTAAATATTTTTGATTAGATAATTTTGTTCAGATAATTAGACGGCAACTTAACATACAGCATGACTTTCTTACCTCAACTATGACTGAGGGAAGATATATGATGGCGGCACCAATGCTGCTCATCACATTGCAAAATATTACTCCGAATATACATATGACGAACGTCGATCCGACGAAAGACATGTCTTTAAAAAATCTGAACCAATTTCTCGCAGACTCAAGCATATCTCTATGATATACTATTACTCTTACAAGGATAACGCCTGCACCTAAAAACATTACAGACTAAATAAAAAATGATTCGATAGATTCAGCAACAGTAGAGCTACTTGTGAAAGAGTACACCCAAGGAAGTACTGCAATGTCACCTATTTCTGCATTTTAGGTTTTGAAGGGTAAGGCTGGTTTCACAGCTGTGCGTATGATCCATACGGACTCTCCGCCTGCGGGCCATCCGCATGCGTAGAATCCCCAGTGCTCTGAGTATTTAATTTAGTGCGGACATTGACGGAAGACAGTCGCCTTTTGAGCAGAGTTCACGCGGAGCGTGTTCCATAAGGAGCATCCGCGTCACTGTAAAACGATGTTCTAACGTCACACGTGTTACTCCGCTCCGATGAAACCAGCTCATGGGTGCTTGTAAAATTACAGGCACGTGGGACTTTTCAACTTACGAGTGTGTCTCAGGGTGACGGACGCAGCGATAGTGCGTCTCAGATCTTAATTATTAAAAGTTTTGGGCGGCACTGGAACTGTTATGGACAGGCGTGTCGCTTACAACTTGTTCGTTCCGTCACTTGTTATCATAAAATAATGTAATTTATAAGCTTATTTAATTCTAAAACATTCGGAACGCGGACCACAGAAAATGTCAAAGTATTATTTAGTCTAATATGCAAAATTCAATTTTATTAAAAGTCACCCGGCTTCATGACTAACCCATAAGTAATATGTAAGAATATGGTGTATTCTTGTTGATAAACTTCCATTCAAGTACCGAAGATTGCGGTTTTGGAGGCGGCAATTCGTCTTCCTCTGCAATCAAAAGTACCTACGCTTAAATTTTTCGACTATTAATAAAAATTTCGACCACTGTGGTATCTTCAGAGAAATAACGTGTCATGGTTTCAACAGAATGATGTTTTGGCTATAATATATATGTACATATTATAACAAGCAGTGATCGGAATTCAGGGAGTTAATCTACCTATAGGCAAGCCAACGTAGCATCCTCTTTTTGAAAGCTATGAACAGCGACAGAACGTCACTTAATAATAATTGTCCAAATAGGAAACGATTAATTATATAATTTATATCCTTTGCAAAGACTAACAATGTTTTCATGTATTTGACGGAAATAACACCTAATTAGATTTTATATCGGCTTTAAACTTGTGATAGTTTGTATTTATAATACATCATGCCAACGGTTACGTTCTAGGAGTTTTATTTCTTAAGCCTAATGATGTCCCGCAAGCAACAGGGTAGTACTATTATGTGATAGAAATCAAGTATAGTCGAGCAACGATAGCAGTCACTTTTTGACAGCTGTGAACGACGACAGAACTTAACTTAATATTAATAGTCTAAATAGGAAACGAATAATTATATAATTTATCGCCACTGTGAACACTAACTTGTTTATTTCGGTTAAATATTCATCTTAATATAACACACAATAACACATAATTTAATAGGTATCTGCATTAAAGTTGTGATGATTTGTATAAAAGATATGTCATTTAACCGCTTAAAACAAAAAAAAAATAAAAAACTTAAGAAAAAAACATAGAACATAACCGCTTATGTTAATCGACGTCGCTAGCGCGTTTCGCTTGGACACTCATATATTATGGGCCAAAACCATTGACTTACAAATAAATGGACGACGGGTCTAATACAAAAACCACGAAAAAAATGTCCCAAGTCAACCTATTCGAAATTTAAATTGTTATGTCATCGCAGTATCGCGCTGTCCGTAGAACAAATGAAGACTAAAGCGGAGTGTCGCGCTCTGTATACGATTTTAGCGCCTTACAAGTGCGGACACTTTTTAGCGCGGACCCGACGTCCATATTATTGTAAGTCAATGGCCAAAACACAATAATTAGTAATTTTGCAATTTATTTTTGTAAGATATTGTTTGTAATACTATTGACTGCTAAAATTTTATTAATAAAATATTAGTAAACAGCGTTTTAAAAGATAAACACTGAAATAAGTAAAATGACACGTCCGCTTCCGACAACAGCTTTAGGCAATTAAGGCATACGTTATTCTTTAGTTTATTTAAATTAACTCCTTCAGTTCCGTGCACTGCTATGATAAGAACACTAGTGTGGTAACTTCATACGTTTGTATCAGCGTGGCTTGTATGTGTGCGCGCCCGCCGCGTGCCGTGTACGAACGCACACATTCGCACCATCTCGCGATGCATTCGCGTTGCGTAGCATTGATCGTCTCACGTGCCTTTCATTATTATGCGAATGTGTGCGTCACGTCACGGGGGGCGTTCACACTTACAAGCCGCGCTGTTTCTTTGTATGAAGTTACCATACCATGTTATACTATGGCTCTGGATTTTGGGTAAAACGTTTCGTGGAGTTTGTTTATAACCAATTTCGATTACAAATTATATTTAGTCTTACTATTTGCTTTTATGTACTTGTAGAATGAGAAACTGCTCGGCATTATTTGGAGAATTACTGAAAATAGAGCAAATATGCAAATATCTCCAACCCTGCAAAAAAAAGCAATTATTATTTATATTGCAAATGTTTACACATAGAATATAATTTTGTTACAGTATAAATAATACAAGTAGTGCAACTCCTGCCTGTTTGCCTACACTTCGCT